TTTTCATATAAATTTGTATGTATATTGTATTTTATATTATATAATAATAGAGACATCTATTGAGAAAATGATGATGTGTAAAATATTTATGATTTTAATAATATATTCTGGAAAAAAGGCAACAATATATTTGAAAAAAAAAAAAAAAATTAAAATATACAATAATAATAGAGTATAATTTATAAAATATTTATTGAAAAATTTTCAAAGAATATTATTTTCATATTTAGCCCTAGCTATAGCTATATATATGTAGATATATATTATTTTTTTTTCGGTTATTTACATTTAATATTTAATTCCATTAATCTATTTAATGTTTATATAATACAAATAATAATATAATAGATTATACAATTATACGGGAAATCTGTTTTGAAGCTGAATTAGTATTTTGTGCCTGGATGTTTTCAATAAATGTGAAATTTCATATAGAAAATATTATTTATTATTTAAATTTGTTATTAACAATAAATAATTATTCATGTATTTTTTGTTGTAATTTTTCGTTACACATGAATAATTGGAGATTGAAAAATGTAAATTAATTTATTGATTATAGCGAAAAAATGTGTGGGTTTAAGTGTGGGTATGAATTTTGTGTTGGTGTTTCTGTTTTTTTTTGAATAACACAAACAGCACGTAAATTTATTTAAAAATACTAAAGTTACTAATATTCATATTACATAAGAATTGTTATATAATACTATTTTTTTTATCCTACTTCGGTCATGAAGAGCATAAGGCTGGTACATGATTATTGTAAATAACCACGAACCAGTTTCTGACATCATTGAGTTTACTAGGTAGGTGACGAACCTACTAGGGTAGGTTAAGACCATAATACTATGGTCTTATATAATTTACTATTATTCAAATATTTCATATAGAATAAAATATTTTATTTGAATATTTTAAATTTTAATTATTTTTTTCGAAAATAATCGAAATAGCTTTTATTTTTTCAAGTACCAAAAGAATAAAAATGTAATGATTTAATTATGACAATAATTTTCACAAAATTTTCAATTCCAATGAAAAATTATCAATTGAAAAGCAATGCAACAAAAGAAAAAAAAAGATTTCATTAGAAAATTATTCAGTATAATTGAAACATGTATAATTATAGTAAAATACCTATTTCGTATTTAATAATACAAACAATATTGAGAATAAATTATTTTCAATTTAAAATTGAAAATTAACTAGAATAAAGTATAAAAATAAAGTAAGAAAAATAAAGTCAATTTATTTTAAAAAAAATCACTGAATACATTAAAAACTTTATTGTGTTTACAATTTAATTTCATAGAAATTTTATAAAAATTAAAATTTTTAAGAAATATCAGGGTGACTGGTTGAAATATGGCTTCAATATTCAATAATAAAATTTAATTCAATAAAATAAAGGAAAACAAAAAAAAAAAAAAATGGTTGATTACATATATCTATAGAACAGCTTTTTTTGTTTATAAAATCATTCACAAAATACAAATAAATTAGTGAAAAGGCTCAGTATATGGAATAAATTGAATTGAAGCCTATATAGAATTGGCAAATACACAATTTCATATGGTATTTAAAAACTAATATTTAATTTATGGAAATTTTTTTTTTTGTGTGTTTTTATTCTTTTTCTTTACGGTAGACAATAATTTCTAAATCGAGCATAAATTTAGTTTTTATCGCTCCCAGATTTCAAACGAAAATTTCTAAATTTTTCCTCATATAAGCTTTTTCCTTTTTTCACAAAAAATTTTTTTTTTATCCGGTTGAATTAGCACGCATATTTTCTTGTAACTTTTTTTGTTTTTGTTTTATTATTAGATTTTCCGGATAATATTTTTCATATATCTTCTGTTTTTCGTTTTCTTTTCATGTTCTTTTCTTGTTCTTGTTTCACGTTATTAAAATGATCCTTGAATAAATTAGGTTGATTATTTTTTTTTGGGTATGGTTTATGTCCTATAATAATAATATATAATACCATTTTACATACATTTTTCTTAATATATATTTAACATGCTATATAACATATATTATATAAAATATATGTATAAATTATAGTATATAAGATGTTCCGTTCTGCGGTTGACCATTTGACCTTGAATAATGTGAAAGAATTATTGAAAAATTATAAATAACACTATATATTATATGGAAATTGGCTATAATGTGTAAATAAAATCAATTATAAGGTGATTAATTAAGTGAATTTTTCTATATGATTATAAAAATTTTGTTAGTTTTCAAAATATTCTTTGCGTATTTCAAATATTAAAAATAGAAAGTTAAAATGTGTTGCCGATAAATGTGAAAGTCACTGAGTCAATAAAGCTTAGATTTTATATTGTGTACTCTATGGTACATAAATGATTCAGAAAAAATTAAATAGAGTTCTAAACTTAATAAAGAGTTATTGAGCATAAGGTGTACGAAATATCTTAAAAAAAATTTTTATAGAACATTTATTAAGAGGCTATGTAGTGCTTCTTTTGCGAACATTATAACAGAGGTTCTTGGTATAATAATATATAGAAACATGTTTTGTATCCGCTTCAGCATTTAATTTTTTACTTTAAATTTTTTTTTGAATTATATAGATTCTATTTGAGTATAGTTGAAAATGTTAATTAAATTAAATTAAGATTAATTTCAGCACACTTTTTGAATTAATTTTATTAAAATTGCAATTAATTTTAATTTAATTTTTCTATTAATCTTCTACTTTATAAACCTTTTTCATTTTAATAATTTAAAAATATTGAAATTTTTGAATAATGAAATTAATTTTCATATTATATACATAAAATCACTCTATAGTTATGTTGCTAACAATTTAGTATCCAAATTTTGCAATTGTAAATTACAACGATTTTCTATATGTAAAATAAATAATAGATTCCTTCCAAAAAAACCAAAAAAATTTTAACAAAATGAAAGATTAAAACTCTATTTAATCTTTTTAATCTTTTTAAGAAAATTTAAGAAAATGAAAGAAGACAAATTAATTAGTTTGAATTAATTCGCTTAATTACCTGAAGTGGTACCCGAACGTTTTTTGAACAAAATAAAAATTGCCAAATTCTCATAAAAGTAGTTTTTGGTTAATAATCATTTAAAAATAAAAGATTTTAAGGATTAGATAAGTGATGAACCTTAAACTGTAGAATTTAAATATAAAATAAATTTATTGCATACTTTTAGGGAACGTTAAAATTTTTTTAGTATAGTCGATTTTGAAAAATTGAAATTATACACATAGCAGTATTATATATTTTAAGTATAAATTACTTAAAATATATAAAGTATATTGTATATATATATATATATGTATTTATATACGTATATTGTTAATTTACTTGAATTTCAATTCCAAAAAATAAATTTAAAAAATTTCCTTAAATTTTAGAAATAAAATAATTTTTGTATGAAATTTTCAGCAACTTTATATTAATTTCGGTATACAATTTAAATGTATTTAGAAAAAAATTTTATACAGGACACCTTAAGATTATAGAATTAACAAAAAAAAAGCAAGAAAAGAAAAACAACAATAATAATAATAAAACATAATAAGAAAAATTTAAAGCAAAGAAACAAAAAGAAAAGACAAAAATTGCGTAGGTGATTGTTGTTTTTGGGATAAATTAAGATGACTTTTCTTTTCAGTAACATATTTCTAGACACACATATGTATATACATACATAATATATTTTATACATAAAATTACTTCAAATAATAGGTAGGAGTTTATAACGAGTATATTACATAGAGAAGTCATATAGCTATACATAAATTTATATATTATATACATATAATAATAAAAAATAATAGCAAAATAAATAAGAATTTAATTTAAAATATTTTTAAAAACAAAATTAAAAAAATAATAATAAAAAAAGAAACAAATATTATTACAAATTTATAAAAGAAATGAGAATAATTTTTAATTAAACAATTTCAGAATGAAAAAAAAGTAAAAACAAAATAAAATAAAAAATATCCCTTTTAACAATATTACGTGTTACCGGCCGCTATAAACAAATACTGAATCTGAACGTTAAAATTATTAAAGAATGCAAAAAAAATAAAGGATGAACAAAAGACAAAATTCACTTCTATTATCTTTATGTTTGCATGTAAACAATAATAGTATAAATAAGAATAAAAAAATTATGTCCCATTTTAATTGTGTAGCATCTAAGATTTCTAAATTATGAGCTACTTTTCTTAAAATTTAAATGATAAAAAATTTACAAGAATTTTAAAGCTGCTATATAGAAAGCAAAATTGAATAAATTATTTTTAAAATATAACCAGGAATTCAAAAGCATATTTCCTTCATTTCACTTTATATTATGGGTAAGCTATTTTTCAATATTTAAAAAACAAAGAAAAAAAACAAGAAAAAGGATAATTTATTCAAATTGAAAATTTCCTTATCTTGTTTCGATTTTTTGTTACTGTTATCATTTTTTATATATTGTTATTATTATTCAAAAATTTTATTAAAGAAAAATAAGAAAAAAAAAAAATTATAATTAATTTATTATTTAAATTTATAATTTTAATATTTAAAAAAAAATATTATAAAAATTTATTGAATAGAAAAGAAAAAAACATTTCTGAATTTAGCTAGTAATTAAAAATCATTTGGCTAGTAATTGAATGAAAAAAATATTGCCTACATTTAGGAGCACTGTTTATTTACTTGTATTCTTATTATTTTATTTATGTATTTTGAAGAGCAATACCCACTAATATAGTGCAAATAATTAATATTGTAATCTTATTAAAAGATCCTTAACCTTTTGACTTGTTATTGCCAATTTAGAAAAAAATTTTCACAAAAATTCTTTAATAATTTTATGATAAATTGCTCACGTAAAAAAAAATTTTTAAATTTTTATGTTTTGTGAAAATTTGTTTTTTTTTTTGGGTTTTTTAAATTAATTTTGAATGATTAATTATTTATTTGGACATTATTTATATTTACTTTTATTATTTGGTTTTGCTTTTTATTGTATACAATGTTTTATTTTTGTTTTTGTATTTCTTTTTTTTTTTTTGATTTTGTCCAGGACAACTAGCTATTTTAGATTGTAGAGGTGTTTATAATATTATTTTGTTTGTTGAATGTTTATTTTGTTTTTTCTTATCTTATTATTTTTTTGATTAATTTTCGTATTATCTTTAAATTTTCAATTTTTATTCTATTATTTTAAATTAAAATTTAAATTCTTTATTTTTTCGTTTTTTTGTTTCTTTTTGTAATTTGTAAGAATTTTACGCTTTATTTTATTAACCAAATTTTGTTTTATTTTTTTTTTTGTGATACTGAAATTATTTATTCTGTTTTTTTTTTATTTTTCTTCGAAAATGCTACTGTAACTACGCCCGATTTTTCTTATTTTTCCTTCTTTTTTTTTTGTGTTTATTTATTCACTTTTTTTTTGTTCTTTTTTTTCGCTTCTTTTTATTATTATTTGAGTTTAATTTTCAAATAAAATTTTATTTATTAAATTTTTTCATATAAAAGAATATGATTTTCCCGAGGGTTCAACTTTTGAACAATTTCACCGACTAACGACAACTAGAACAACTCTGATAATAAATATAAGAATAACAAAATTTATATTTTTGTTTGTTTTTTTTTTTTTTTGTTTTGTATATTTCTTTTGTTTTTGAATATTCTTGAATATAAAATATTTCGTAGGGGGCGCAACAAAAATAATAATAACAAAATTAAAAATTTTCCCTTTTTGTAATAGAAAATTTACCATATTGTATGTATTGTATTTATATGTAGTAGAGAGAGAAAAAAAAGGAGAATTTCCCTTTGGAAATTTTCTTCCATTATATTACTCGTATATGATTTTTGAAATATATAGGTATATATGTTTGTTTTGCACATTATAATATCTATAAATACATGTGAATATACATGAATGTAGTGTATACAAGACGTATACATATAAATATAGTTATTTATTAAAAATAATAGGATATCTTTTATTATTCTATATAAATGCAAAGATTTATGATATAAAAATAACCATTCTTTCTTGAATGTATAATGTATGTATATAAGAGAGAGAAGTCATGTGCCATGTGCACTAGAGAATACAAAAAATATAATAATACACCTTAATGTTCAAAACAATAACAAAATAAACAAACAAAAATAAAAAAAAAAAAATAAATAAATATAAAAATAATTGAGTGTAGAAAGCCGCCTAATAATATGCTATATAGTAAATATATTGCTAGTGAATTCATTTTAATATACAAATGCATATAGGTATATACATATAAGTGTCATTATATTTTATTGTAGGCACAAACATTACACGTACACACGCATAGTTATTATAGGACAATATATATTAGTGTGTATAGACTCTTTGAACTCTTTATATATATGTTAAAATAAACTTGATAGTAATAAAACCAAATTAACTTTGTTTTTGATTTTTATTTTATTTTTGTTCTTTTGATTTTTTCACAGGAAATCTGAGGTGGAAAACAAAAAATTTATTCTATTTGTCATTTTGTTTTATGTATTTTTTTTTATTTTTTTATGAGTTTTTATTTTTTTGTGTGGAAAAGGAATATTACAAATTAAGAGAATAGAACAGAAATTGAAAAATTGAGTTAAATTAAAATACTGGCATATAACAATTTGTAAATTGTGTGTATATAGAAAGTGTTGTATGAAATTCACTTCGAAATAATGTTTTTTTTTTTTGTAAGAAATATGCACCTTTTTTTATATTGTAGTTAGTAATTACTAAAGTACAATTCATTATTTAACGCAAATATATGAGATAGTCTTTATGGCTGTTTCATAAAGATAGTTGATATAGAAATGAATTAAAAGAAAATTTCCAATTAAAATGGTAGCCTAATATGCTTTATAAAGTGAAAAAATTAATAAATCCATTTAAATTACTTTTTAATTTTTATTCATAAGAAATCATGGTGGGTTTTTTGTGAATTAAAATTTGACAATTATTTTAATAATTAATTGAAATAATTAATTGAAATAATTAATTGAAATAATTAATTGAAATAATTGCTTGGGTCTATTTATTTGCAGCAACAGGTTGAATGTAATTTGGACAAAAAAATGAATCAGAATTGTTAAAAAAATAATTTTTAATCTATTATCTATGAATATTGTATGGTAAGGTGACGAACGGTTGTTTGAAGTTTTTTCTCTATATATTTTGATAGAGAATAGAAGAAGAGATAAAAACTTTTACATCTCTGCCATATTGAGATGGGCTTAACCAGTTTGACAAGTATATTGTGATTTATATTTGCATATTTTCAGGCACAATCACATTGTAATGTCTGTATATTTTGTTAACTTTTTTAAATATTTTTTTTCAAGTATTCAATAATAAAAATAATTAATCAAATTACATATTTTATCTATACTGGCGTATTAATTTTTACAAATTAGTTTTCTTTGGCAACAAGTATAATAATACCATTATAATTTTAACATTAAGTAATAATTGATATTATAAACTTAATAAATGAATTTAGAAGTCAATATATATAATTAGAGCTACTATGTAGAAACAACAACTCAATAAAGAATCTCAAAAAAAAAAAATTATAAAAAATATCAAACGAGATGAGATACCGACATACTGATAAATTTACTTTGTGTCTCTCTGTGACGCGTTGTTATTTTTCAATAGAGAATATCATTTTGCTACGCAGGATATTTTTTTATTTTCATATCATCATTTGTATATAACTTACTATATTGTAGATGTACATATGAACAAGAGTTTTTTTATTATATTTGTATATAAAAAAAATAGCAAAAAATAAAATGTATTTTATTGTTTTTGCTTCAAATAAAATTTTAATCGTGCCCCAATTGCCACCATATCTATTTTTGAAAAAGGGAAATTTAATTATGCGTTATATATTGACTAGATATTTCGTCTCCTGTTTTATACATATGTAAGATATATGTATGTCTGGATGTATACATGTGAGAATATTTTCTTTATTTCTCTTTTTTTGTTACCTTACCTTTATTTTACGTTTTTTACCGTTTTTATTATTTAAAGGTATTGGAGTTTTTCTCAAAGAATTATATTCTTAAATAGAGAGAGAAAGAGAAAAAAATCAATAATTAAGGAAATTTTCTTTGTATTATACTTTGAAATAGAGAAAATCAAATAGAGAGTAACTAAATAATGTATAGATAATTTTCATAAAAACAAAGTGAAATAAAATCTGAAAAGATTTTTTTAATAATGACTAAGTTCAGATTCAGAGTTCTAAAAATCGGTCCATAACCATAAATATGAATTCTTATAAATCGTATGTATATAGTTAGGTATGTATGTATATACATACACATGTATATTATATATTTGTGGTAAATAATATTAAATTTAAAAAATATTTGTTATCTTTCTTTAAGTCTTCATTATTAACAATTTCTAAATGTTTATCAGTTGCTATATTATTCATTTACTTATTTATTTAGTTTAGATAACAAATTGACAAAAAGCAGCTAGAAATAAAATCCCCTTGGCAATTCATTAATATTTTTTTTTAATAACAATGTTACCCTTTTAATTATTAATTCTGAGCAAATAATTGCAAACGCAAAGTTAATCCTAAAGTACATACATAATTAATAATACGAGTACATGTGTAATTTGAAAATAAGCAAAATTATAATTTTGTTAGCTATGCTTAATTTTTCTGTTATTAAAAATTTTATATTTTATTGTCTAAATTTCAAATTTATTTATTGAAAAATTTTATAAAAAATATTTGAATAATGAAATTGTGAGTTTAAAGATTTTTTAAAATTAAAAGTGGATTTGAAATGAAAGTGTGGTCTTAAATATTTCAAGCACTTGATTTTCTTAAAATAAATTAAATGTTTTAAAAAAATAAGTAGATAGATTATATTGTATGTAAATACATATGTAATTTTTGAAAAATTTTATAATTTTGTATGGCAAATAATTTTAGAAAATTTTCTCAATTTTTAAATGATAAAGGATATAATATAAAATAGTATAATATGTATGTATGTACATAATGCATGCTATTCATTCTGTTAACGATTTATAATTTTTGAATTTCTTAATAATTATACCTAAGATTTATTTTTATTTTATTTAAATTTTCATTTAAGAAGTAGCTATTAATATTTCTGTCATATAAACATAATATATATGTACATTCATACATAAAAAAATATTTCTCAATATTGAAAATTTCAATCAAATTTCAAATAAAATTCAAATAAACTTTCATTTAGAAAAAATGATTTTGGTGTAAAAAATTTTATCCTTTACAAAATATTACCATTTGCTTTTACATCGAATTTCGCTTGCATTGTAAGTTAAGAGATTTCTAACAAATTTTATATGATGGAATAAAGATGGTGGATTCTACATACATATACATATATGATGCGACGACCCACACCCTTACTATTTTAAACTCTTATATAAAGTAATCAAAATAAAAAGAAAAAATTGTTTCAGGATTTTGTGAGATTTAAGAAAATCAGGTAATTATTAATCAAATAATGAAACAATTATACAAAGCATATTTGTTTAAATCGATATGAGAACAATTTTATTTCATGAAGTGTCTCAATAAATATTGAAATAACTGGTTAACAGCACTTAAAAATTTTTACCTTATTTGAGAAAAAATTTGATTGAAACTAAAAGATTCCTATTACTGAATGTAACGTAAAATTTCCAATTCCAAAAGGTTTAATAAACTTTTTTGGACTGCGCCTAATTTTTGTTAAAACACTGATGAAATAAAAATATTTTTTCGCAAGTAGCACCAATGAATTCTTTATATTTCAAAAGCTGCAATCCTGAAATAAAATTTTGAATCAAAAATAAGTTCAGTATAAAGTAAAATACTTTTATTCAATATGTATTAATCAGATACTTAAATTTTTATTACAAAAATAATTCAAATTTCTAAAGAAAATCTAAAAAACAAAATTAAATTTCTATCAACTACATACATACATACAAATACTTGATCGATGTTTGACTAATATTTTTTTGATAATATTGGATTCATCGATCCAATATAGTTATGCCATTTTTGCAATTGATATAACTTTGAAGGCAGTAAAATTATATGAACCGCTATACGATATTATTTTACAATAACATCATAATCGAGCTCATAATATACAAATTTTCAATAGTAGGGTTTTAAAATATACATATCTTATGTACGTACATTTATAAGGAAAATTCTATGTCGCATACAATACAATATTCATACAACAAAAGTTGATTAAAATATCGTTGCCAATATACATATAATGGTACAAATTTCAAATGTGCTTTTTAGGTATATTTCTCCTCAATAATAAATATATATTCATATCCACAAACTGAACTGCGTTAGATAAAATAAACGTTTGTCTATGAAAAAGAAAATGAAAGAGCAGTTACCACATCATAAATTGAAGATTTTCTGTTGAGTCCACCCAACAAAACAATTACAACTAAAAAAAAAATGTTATAATATTAATGAAGAATACTTAATATCAGATACATTGAATATAATCCAAATTTTTATAGAAATTAATAATTTATCTTCATCTAATACTTAGTATTCTCTGTAATAACAAAATAATTATTTTAAATCCTTGAAAAATACAATTTTATAGCAATTGGGTGGAAATTTTTAATATTTATTAAAGGAATATTTACTTGATTACATAATAAGTATAAAATCCAATCCATATTCATTACTAATAATCAAAATTGAAATCGGAAAAAAGTAAAAATTTTTGATACTGTGATTCATTTAAAAAAAAAAATTTATTCAAAATAAATTTAAGCTTTGCCATTCTTAATACACATTTTAATTTTAATGCTGGTTTGTACTAGTTTAGCTTAGTTTCGACTTTTTTCTTGCTATTGCATCTTCTACAGCTCTTAGTTGTTTTAATAGTTCTTCTCTTCTAGTGATTTTTTTTGTAGAATTTGCCATTGAAGATGAATTCGAATTTGAATTATCACGGTCCATAGCAGCAGATAAACTTGATGCACCCAAATTTGAAGTTTTCTTTAATTCGATGGATATTGGTGAACGTTTTTTGGACATTTCACTTTTTTTTGTTAGTTTTTTCTCTGCCACAATTTTTTCCGAAACTCTACCTGAAGATTTTTTAATTGGGGTTTTTCCACGCGATGAGCTTGAAGAACTTGATGAATAAGAGGAATCACTTTCCGAACCACTTGAATCAGATGAACTTGATGATCGGCGGCGTTTTAAAGATGGGCTAGGTGTTCTTATTTTAGTTTTAATATGCCTTCCTGGAGATTTGTAAGAATTATGTTTACTACTATCATAACGTCGACGACGAGTATTAACAGATAATGATCTACTTGTATCAGAAGAAGAAGCAGATCTTGAGCTACTGGAACTAGAGTAGGACGAATTGCTGCTATAACTTCTTTCACGACGAAGTGATGATCTTTTATCTCTATCACGTCCACCAAGTGTCTTAGATCGCATCCATGGATCACTCCATTCATTTCCCCGTCCCGATGGTTCTATTCTTTCAACTATAACTTCTCTTGTTGGTCGTACACGCCGTTCATCTTTATACTGTGGCATTCTATGTTGTGGCAATTCTCTATATCTACTTGAACGGCCATATGAGTCTACTTCTTCAAAAGTATTTGCACCCGGTATACGTAAAGGAATTCTATGCGGTGGGCTGTAAACTCCTGCATCATATCCATATACAGCCGGGGATGTACGGGATGTGTAAAGCGAATTGGGTTCTGGGGAAGCTCTGTCCCTCATATAAAAATTTTCCTTTTCTAATTCATCCGATGATACAGTAAGATTCATTTTTTTATCTTCGAAATCCATGTACTGTTCTTTACGCTTGTCTGCCTTCCTCATCATTTCTTTTGCTGTACGTAGACCTCGTTCCCAAGCACTTTCAACTGCAGGTATATTTTCAATGCTTGGATTAGCTCCCGGGGGTGCTGATCCCATCATTCTATGTTCTGTATGAAGGTTACTAAAGTTTGGATGATGCATATGTGGCGGTCTGTGTAAAAGTGTTGATCGTTCTTGATACTCAATGTAAGGTGGATAGTTATTGGAGTGAACTGAGTTTGAAGCGATTGGAACTGGGCGTATCATATCAAACATTGTATAGTTACCTTTATCAGTTACACCTGGGTGTAAAAATCTACAACTCATACCCCAAGTACAAGCTCCCCTGGTGTAAAACCGACATACCGGTTTCGGTTCGCTTTCTTCTGGTCTTTTTTCGTCTTCATCGCTTACTTCACCTTCTTCTAATTCTTCACCATCCTCTTTTTCTTTCCGTAAGTTTATTTTGGCATTATTTTGATCAGTTTTGGCATCGACCTCATTATTATCTTTGCTAATTTCTTGACACTCACCCTCTTCAGCTTCAAAATCTAAAGCATCTTCGTCATGTTTCTTTGCCAAATCGTCAATATTTTCTGCAGTTTTGTTTTTCATCTTAAAATCATCAATTTTACATATATTCTCGCTTGATTCTAAACAAACTTCCGAATTCTTTATTACATTTTTCTTTGCATCCAACTTTTGTCTTAAATCAACCATATTCGTTTCTTTGCGATTAGATTCTTTACAGATTGTTTCCTTCTCTTTATTATATGCCTCTTGCTCTACAGAGCTATTATTAGAAATCTCGCAATTCTGTAAATTTATCTGAATAGGCATGTCAGATTCTTCCTTCTTATCATTTTCTGTTTCACTAACATTGCTTAATTCTTCATGGTTTATGTTAATCGACCCATCTTCTTTTTCTTCATAACTTTTTTCAAAATCACCGCATTCTTTCATTTCTGATTCAATTTCGCGTGATTCGTGACTTAAGTTACTGGAACATCGCGAATTATCGGGTGACGCCGAATACTCCCTTACACCAGAAACATCCCCATCCCCACTCAGTACATTTGAAGCAGCACTGTTAACGCTTTGAGAGCGCTGGTGATCAAATTTGGGTTCTTCATCCATTTGATCATCACCATTTTCACTTGATGATAAAGGTGTTGAAGAACGCGATCTTTGCGAATTGGAACGGGTATCGTCATGTTCTGTGTTTGGAGTAGAATTTGGTGAATTTTTCGCCGATTCTGATTGTTGTTTTGCATCATTATTTGAATCAAATACAAATCTATTTGGTGTTCCCGAAGAGTTCCGGTAATCTTCACAGTCATTTGATGAATCTGATGCAGAACCAGATATGCCAGGCGTCGATTCTTCCGATTCCATTATTTACGTAATAAAACCGAATATATAATTTTAAAACATACCCAGATAATTAATTTATGAAAATAATTACTTTTTGATGAAAGACTTTCCCCGAAAATTTTAATAGATATTTATATTTTCCGAATTATAAACAAGAAGTAAGTAAATGGCGAATGGCGAATGTCAGTAATTTGTTAAATGTCAACCCCATCGTCAGCGTTGAACGTCAAATTTGAATGTCAATGCCGACAATTATTAATTCGATTTCTCTAAAAGAGCTGCCATAAGGAGATAAACTTTAGAAGTCTAAAATATCTGGTCATAAAGGAATACAAACATTTCTGGAAAATAAACATTGCTTACCAAACTCCGTCTGTAGGACTAAGTGAATAAATTTGATTTAAATTTTCAGGTAGAATAACATTTTATCAAAAATGGAAAGAAAATTATAATAACTCCGAGAACAATTATTTATATTCTTTTTACTAATAATATTATTTATATTCCTGTTATTATAAATTTGTTATTAATATTCCGAGAACAAAACTGATAAAATGAATGTAGCAGAAATGTAATTAGTAAATTTAAATATTAATTGGAGATATGTATGTAAACGAAAATAAATTTTTTTAATGGTAGGTTTTTAAACTTTTTTATTGTTTTCTATTCTTTAGACATTATTAGAAAAAAACTCGTTCATGTTTCGCGAATGAAAACAAGAGCTAAACCTTCTGTAAGCGTAATTGTCATTTTTTTCACCACTTACATAAAAAATAAATTCACCATACAAATATAAACAATAACAACCAATTTTTTGACGTTACAAACGAGTGAATACGTGTTGTCGAATTAACAGATTAATAAGCTGGAATAGAGTAAGAAGTGTTATAAAGTTATAGAGAAATTTTTGTTTCAGAATTAAAATGCAAACACAAGACGAAAGAAAAAATGCTTTGCAAAAAAAATTGGGCAAGCTATTGGAAACTCGTTTGGACACAGACAAAGTCAAATTTTCATTCTTTTCCATTTACATATTTTAAAGAACCTTAATTTTAGGAGACTTTAGAAGCTTTAAAAGATCTTTCAACTTATTTGCCGGAAGATATGGTTATTACGGATTTAAATTTACGCTATGAAATTGAAAAACATGGAATCGAAATAAACAAAAAATTTTTGGAAGCTTTCCGGGCTGTAAAAGACGCTATTGAAGAAGTTTGTGATGAGATTGATGATATAGCAGATTCTGTCAGCAATATGAAAGCAAATCTTCAAAGTTCTCAAGTATTAACAAAGGATCTAATATTACAAACAAATGATTTACAAAATGAAGGAAGAAAAGTTCAATTACAACAACAGGTTGCAAAAAAATTTATAGCACATTTTCAACTTAGTGTAGAGGAGCATAAAATTTTGTATGGTGCAAATCGGGATGATGCCATCACAATGAAATTTTTTGACGTTCTAGATCGTGTGCAAGTAATACACAATGATTGCCGAGTCTTAATACAAAATAATTTTCAAACATTGGCTCTGGACATAATGGAAGAGATGACATTGCATCAAGAAGCAGCTTTGGAAAGATTATATAGATGGACACAAAATCACTGCAGAAACATAGATAACAATGAAATAGGGAATTTAGTTATTATAGCCATGAGTAGACTCCAAGATAGGCCAGTTTTGTTTAAGTATGTCAATTTAAAAATTAATAGTATTTCTCAAATTTTATTGCCTTAATATTATTTATATTTCATATTGCAGATATGTAATTGATGAATATTCAACAGCTAGACGGTCAGTATTAGTTCGAATGTTTATTGATGCTTTAACAATTGGTGGGCATGGTGGACATTCTAAGCCAATAGAAAGTCTAGCACACGATCCTAAGAGATATATTGGAGATATGTTTGCTTGGCTTCATCAAGCTATCCCAACTGAGAAAGAAAATTTAATGTTGTTAGTCAAAAAGTGCGAGCAGAATGGTAAAAAAATAATAAAATATTTTGCATAACGTTTTTCTGGCTTTATACATTTATTTTAGATTTAACTGACCAAATCCAAATTGCTCTTTCACATATTGTTGACGGTATATGTCATCCATTAAAGGTCCGAGTTGAAACAATTTTGAATTCAGAAAGAGATACCATTATTTTATACGCACTTTCTAATTTATTACGATTTTATCAAAACATAATAAATCAGGTGAGAAGCATAATTTTTATCTTTATAAATTGAAAGAACAAATTTATTAGCAGCAAAATTTTTAGGTTGTTAGGGGTGGAAATTTAGAACAATGTTTGATAGATTTACAAAAATACAGTGAGCAAGTGTATTTGAATTCATTAGCAACACAGGTTAAAACTATATTACAAGGATCTTCTCCTCAGGGAAGAGGTTTGGATCCACCTCAGCGTGATTTAGTTCCACCACAAAGTGTTGGAAAACTTTTGAATATATTGAAAGAGATTTTATCAGTGGCAAGTATGGTTGAAGGACGTCAAAGTGATATTGTAAAAATTGTTTCATGTGTTATTGATCCATTATTACAATCTGTGCAAGAATCAGCATCTCATTTACCAACTGTTGATATGGCTGTTTATTTATTAAATTGCTTGTATCATATGCAAAGTGCTTTAGCTGTTTATGAGTATATGGATGAAAGGGTAGAGCGTTTACAAGCTCAATCTGATGCACAAATCGATACATTAACTTCAGAACAAGCTTCTTCTTTGGTAGCAAACTTAAATTTAGGTCCAATTTATACGATTTTACAAAATAATAATTCCAAAATTGAAGTTAATTTATTAAAAATATTTATGGATAAGTTTTTAGCATTTCTAGAAATGCCTGAAATTCTTCTTTTACCTCAAATTAGTTTACTTTTAAGCTCTAATCATAGACAACTTGTACAGAAGAGGTCTTTTAATGTAATCATTGCAATTTATAAGCAAATGTATGAGAGAATACAAGAATCAGCATACCATACAGATGTTGCATCAGTGAAGTTAAAAACGCCAGAAGAAATTTCTAAAATTTTATTAGGATCATAAAATGAAATAAACATTTTGCAATATTAAATAACAAAAGTTAAATACAATATAATTTTTGACGGCATTCACACCAGTTTATTGAACTACTATCGCATACATAAAAATAGTATTTTTAAACTTTAAGAATATTCTATATGTAAAAATATACGAAAACAATTTCTTAAATTATTGTAAAAAAAACAAAAGGCAAATCAACAAAAAAAATGCTGCTTTAAGCAAATATTATTCATTAATAATATGTTTCATTGTTGAAAATTTAATTTTCATCTGGAAAATTAGACACTGGTAAATCCATGTCGAAGCATTTACAAGAGCAACCTGTTACCGGGCATTCTGTATTCTTTTGAAACCACTCCATTAAGTGTTCGGTATGACCACCATGCCTGCAAGTTTGACACCATGAAAACCACTTTGAAAAAGGTTTTGATTGCCAACCTAAGCTCTCGTGTTCAGGAGAATTTTGCGATGAAATTGCTGTTGTAGTACCCATGTGTAACAAGCATAATGAACATCTTGGTAATGGTTTGCGACAACTTGGACATGATGATAATTTATTGACATGTGAAGAAACATTTCGTAATCTAGCATCATCAGTTAAAACTGATGAAACAGATTTTCCGCAAAAACTGCATAGTAAAAAAACTGATCGGGATGTTTTTCCAGGTGATTGGTTTTTATTCATTTTAATTTCCAATTCAGCACGCTTTTCCCATAACCCCCATATGTCTAAAAGTTCCAAATAACTAGATATCCAAAAATGAATTCTATAATCAGTAATTTCATCTACGTGGAAATATTCTATAGCAAGTAACGACACTGTTTGTACATCTTCCGATCTATCAACGTACGCTTGCATTAAATTTATTGTTTCAGGGCATTCTCCGCCAGTTAAAAGTAAACCATTTAGATCACCATCATGAATACATTTTTGGATGGAACTTTTGATAAATTCAATTAACTTATTATCATTTAAATATTTACATGCAAAAGCAACACGATCTGCTAATGATATTCCCTTTTCATTTAAAATAACATCAAAGTTTTCATTTTCTATTGTAAGAAAAGCAAATATTGTTCTTAAATGTGGATCACGAATTTGAGAACTCGCAGCCGCTTGTTGTTGTCGCCATGTATTGTTGGAAAGATCCGAATCAAAACTAGATAATGCTATTGCAGCCATTCTTAACATACTTGGATCACCCGTTGCTAGATCTGTGGCTTTTAACAATATATCACAGGCATAAGATATTTTCAAAAAAAAAACTGCTATCATTGCAGCTTTTGTGTGCTCTTTTTTTGCACAAAGTTCGGGAAGGAATTTGTTTAGTAATGTAGCATCACTATCAAAATCCCAGCCGCACAAATATTGTGCCTGAGTTCTAGCTTCATTACGGTATGTAGTGAGAATGTTGGTTGATTTCTTTATAAGTTCAGGCCATGAAAGTGTTAATGTTTCGCTGCGATTCGTAAAAAGGCTTTCACCTATTTGATTGGAATCGATACCTGAAGAAAAAATTCTTATTTTTAATAAATAAAATATTTTACTATTCACCTACCTAAAATATTTTTAAGACCGGTCGGATTATCTTCTATTGTTATTTTTTCTAAAGTACGCCAAACTGCTTTTAGTGTTGGGTTATTAGTTGTTTCTCCATTTTTACCTCGATCTGGTAGAAGTCCATAACGTTTTATAGCTCGATTTCTCATGATTTTTGATATATCATCTACTGAACTCTTGTCGTTATTTAAATCTTTAACTTCGAATTTTAAATTCGTGTTATTTCTCGGATATGAATCCCACAAATTATTTCGGGGATCAATTGACATTGCTGTTCGATGTGGTATACTAAAATCTTCGATTGTACTATCTTCAAGAAGAATTAAAGCGTGATCTATATAGCCTGGCATCCAAGAAAACCCAACTAAAGTTTTCGCTTTGCTATATTGCGCACTGTAGACACCGCTTGTATTATTTCTTAAATTCCCGGGTAAAAAGTTTTTTCTTGTATAATATAATTCATTTCCATTTTCGATATCAACTGGATATATATCAAAAACTTGTAAATAAGGTGCTCCTCTTGACATAGCAGATAAAACATTTGATCTTGTAGAGCACCAAGAAATTTGTGATATGTTTTTTATTGAGGTTTGTATTTGAGTTAAATTTTTATCCAAATTTCTTAAGTCCCATATACCAATTAAAGAGTCAACATAACTAGCCAAATAATCACCACTTTGGGATAAAGTTAGACCATTTACAAATCTAGTATTAATGGTTGATGACGCATTTTGAAAACTTGATGAGCGTAAATCATAAATTCTAATAGTTTTTTGACTTATACCAGCAATAAGTGCTCGATTTGTTTTATCCCAGCACATACTATGTGCAGTATCAGAGAGTCCAATACCATTTAAACCATTATTTACATCTTTTGTTGATTGAGGTCGATTTATATCGAATATTGTAATACAGTAATCTGAGCGGTTTTTGTCGTGTCCAATTGCAAGGATATTTTTATCAGCTTCATTCCATGCTAAACATAAACATGTTCTTTGTTGTCTTGGTATAAATTCTTCTGCAGTATTACCTACTTTATCAATTTCAAAATCACAAATTCCTACTTTACCGCTAGAAAGACCAACAGCAATTAAGGGCTTGTCAAAGTACGATGGCTTTATGCAGCGAATATATTGATACCGATCCTCACGTGTTAATAGACTTGCTGATACAGTTGTTATATTATCATAACGAGTTTGCGATGATCGATTTTGTAAATTTAAGTTTTTTAACTGATCTGTTGTTTGTATAATTGTAGGTGATGATGGGGTTGCTGAACTTTTAAATTCATACAGATTTATTTCAGAGCCCCATGAAATGAATTTGTTCGATATATTTGGAAAACAACAAATGCCATGAACAGTCCCGTTCATGGTGAAAACGGGATAAACACTTACAGAGTAAAAAGAAAAAAAACAGCTTTGCAATTATGAAAACAACTGATTTTCCTACAATGTTTTTATCACGATGATGATAATATTTCAAACATTGGAAAAAAAAAACAAAAATGCAATCAAAATATAAAAAATGTCAAAAATACAAAATAAAGTGGACATGTTTCGAAATTAAAAATGTTTAATATAACTTGCAGCGCTATCTATGGGCAAGTATTTAATTTTTGACGGGAATAACTTAAATACTGATAACAGTGATGTTCACATTTTATTTGATAAATAAGAATTTGACTAACTGTTAGCTAAAATCCTATGTATTGTTCCTAATTTTATTCTTTTTAAACTAAGTGAGAAACTTATATCATTTCCGAATTATTCTAAAGAAGAAAAAAATTCGTGTATTTTTTTAATGTTAACTAATATCAATTGATAAATCTAAATTTATCAATTTATCTTAATAAAATGTTTAAAGTAAAAGACACTAAATTTTAATATTTCGATTGCATAAAACTAGGCAACAAAATAAATGATTGTATTCAATGGTCAGACTTTATAATAATAATTACGGTAACAGCTAAAACTTTTTGAAAATGTTCAGATTTAGAAGGAAATAAATAATAATTTCTTAAATATTTTCTTAAAATATTTTATTAATATTTAATTAATAATAAATAAATTCCACAAGTAGAACTGAGGTTTCAATACCTATCTTCTCAATTAAATACATTACGCTATTAATAATCCTTATACCTTACTACACATTACCTTATTTGAGTGCCTGTATGTATGTATGAGTATGGAACATAAACTAAAACTTAATTACTATTCAGAATACTATTTAACATAAATAGTATTCCGAGTACATGTATGTATGTATACAAATATAATTTTTCGATATTTAGTCTCTCTATTAAAATTATAATGAGGAGCAATAAATGCATTTAGAAATACCTACATAATATAGATTTTATTAGAAAAATACTAAAAACATAATACTTAGAAAATTATATTAATATACTTACCCTTATATACATACTTTCATACTCCATTCAATACTACGAACGTAGTATTTTTTTTTTTGAACATTGACTATTATGTATATTTGCGAAATTTTTACATACTCACTATTATGCGGTTTATTTGAACTGTGCGGGAGGTAATTTGGTTTCTCTCTTTTACGATATGTGTAAAAATTTTAGAACTCGCAAATAATTGAAAAAATAAAAAACCGGTGTGTTTTATTTATGTATAATATTAAAAATTTATATATACATATAAATAGCATATATAATGTACATAACAGAAAGTAAATAGATACATATCCCTAATATGTAGGTATTTATATATGTATACGTATTTAGATTGGAAAATATAAAAAAGCTTTAACTTTCTAAGTTTTTCATTTTTCTCCTCTTTTTCATATATGTAAATGTAAATGTATTCATTTTAAAGTATAAATAATGTAAATATGTATATTTTGCATATAAATTATTTGTTTAGAGCATATACATATGTACTTAAATATATATATATGTATATACAAATTTTGTAATTATATTTATACAGTGATGGTGTAGTAAATTCGGTTTAATCCGAACAAAATCAAACTGCCGTTAGGTCTGACATAAAGGATTCTTAAAATCGGAAGTGAATGTTTAATTGCATATTTAAATGTTAGTTTATCTTAATATTTGCAGTTTTGGCAGTAAAAAATTTGATTCTCGAGATAAGTTCTATAAACATTTCGAAAAGCCTGACGTTCAGTTTTCGTAAATTTCTAAATTATGTGCAAATAAATAACGTGGAAAATAATGTGGAAATTAGCCAAAACCCGATATTAGGAAATTTGTAAAAACCCGATAGGATAAATATTAGCTCTTGCAACTTCGTAAAATTGATTAGTTAGGTTTATCTGGTTATGGTTTCAACAACTTTTGAAATTTTCATTTTTTAAATTAGCTTATGGTATTCTTGTAGAGTAAAGATTAACTCTTTAGCATTTAATTTTTATCACTAACTGCGAAATTAGCTAAAAAATGGATTATCGGGTTTTGACAAATTTTCGAAATAATTTTATAATTATTATAATATTGTTTAATACTAGTGATGATACCGGGGAAGAGTAAAATAAAATTTAAAAATTCTGTACATTTGTATATTCAATACCAAATAAAACTTTGCAGTTCGTTCTCTTAAAAAAGCACAATTTTTCGAAAATATCATTTTTTATTTTTATTTTCCATGCTTATTATTTGCGAACCGTTTCGAATACCATATATAGTTTAACCCCTGTAAATGGATCTGTTCTTTATTATTATTTTTTTTTTTTGTTATGCTAAATATTTCTATTGATATTGTTTTCGAACCGCGTTTTGAATGCTCTTAATGGTTGTTTTTGCTATTTAATTATTTTTTTTTGTGTATTTATATTGGGATTTTTGCTTACTTTGTTCTTTTTTTTCCTTCTTTGCTTATGTTGTTGTTTTTATTTTTTATCACAAAAAATTTTGTGTTTTTTTTTTTTTTTGTTTTTAATTTCGAAAACAAAATAAAAAACTTTTTTTTTCATTAATTTTTCAGTTCAATATCACGGTTTGTCTTGTAAGGGACACATCCAGATTCAAATAGAGAGAAAATAAATAAAAATTAATATTATAATAATCGTATATTTTTTAAATAATAATAAATGTATGTATGTATTGTATTGTATTTTACGGAAATTCGTACGATAATGTTACGGTAATACACACGGATACGGAATATATATAATATAAAGGAAAACATAAGAAAATAAGAAGTAAGAAGAGAATTAGAGAAAATATGAGAACATAAAATGAGTGAAATAATTTAATAAACAAAGTGGATTGGTGTTTATACTCGTAGTAATATTATAGTTTTTTTTTCAGCAATATATTTAATGAAGGTGAAAGAAAGCAATACGAAATTACGGGAAAAAATTTAAATATAATATTTTTTTTAGTTTGCATATTTTTAATTGCTTAAAAAGAAATTAGTTTTTACTACTTAAAAAAGCAAAAAGGAAGAAAAAAGAGAAAAACAAACAGTCGATTTTTTTTTGTGTGTATTTGTGAATTGTAAATTTTTCTTATTTTTCTTTTATAATTCAAAAAAAAAAAAAGATTAAAACAAATAAAAAATAATAAGTACTCAATTCCTTGTTTATAATTTTTTCTTTTCTACTGTCATGTAAAATTTTTGAGTGATTTTCATATTTTCACTTGAAAAATCTTAGTTACTATAAAAAAAAAAGAAATTTTGAGTACTACTTATTATTTTTTTCTGTTTTATTCTGTTATATTATTTTAAATTACAAATTATTCATATACATACATATGCATCTATATGATATATGTACATATGTACTCGCATATATAGGCATACTTACATATTGAATTTGTTTGTAAATTTTTAATGAGTGCTTTTTTCTATTGCTAATTTTATCTTATAAATTTCAAAATGTTATGGTCATAAATTCTTTATTTTGAAAAACTTTTGTTTATTATTGATGCTTTAAATTAAATATAGTATTTTTCTATTATATGTATGTATGTATGTATATGTTAGTTGTAATATGCATTCAATTGAATTTAATTTTGGAGTTTTGTTTTTTTGTTAATATTATTGTTATAAAATTACATTAAATATTTTATGTGCAAACACGATTTCTATATTAGGAATTAGTTAATTTCAAAAAAAAAAAAATTGATTATTTTATTTAATTTTATAGTTTTGCTATTTTTTTTTTTCTATAAATCTTAAAATTATAACAGTTTTATAAGTAATAAAGTAGAGAGCTAAAGAAAAATTGTAATATTATAAGTTAATAAATTAAATTAAATAATAAGTAAATATATAATAATAAAAATCAACAACTAAAATTAATTTATTTGCTTCCAAATATATAAATATATATATATAAATTAAATAAATAAACTAAATTATATCAAATTAAATTAAATGTTAAATAGATTGAATGGAATTGAATTAATTGAAAATATGAAAACGGGACTGAAAATAAATAAAAGCAAATAGCAAAAAAAAAAGCATGAAATAAACGAATATTATTAATAAAAAATTGAAAAAAAAAAAATAAACAACAAAAAATAATAAAATTTTTGTGTAGTTTTTTTTTTAAGGCGCCTTTTTCACCATACTTATTTTGTATTAAGTTTGTTTGTTTATATACAGTACAATATGTACCAATGAAGTGAACAACAAAAAATAAATAAAAAAAAAAAGGAGAAAAATTAAAAAATAATAAAAAAATTCGAAGCAAAGTTTAAAATTTTAATAAAATTTTATAAATTAACTTGGAAAAAAATACAAGAAAAAAAAACTAGTGCAATAACAAAAGCAGAAAACTTGTATGTACATTTTTAATATAAAGTATAAAGTAAGTACTCGTATATAAGCCACTTGTTTTTTTTTGTACATAAGTAGATTTATAGTATATAAATATAATTTAACTATATACCGTAAATAATTAATTCATATTATCGTACATTTGTGAGGTTAATGTTACAATTAGATAACTCGCAATTATTGGTTTAGAGATATTGTTATACAAAATTTAACAATAACAAATAATTTATCATGAAGATGTGCAGTTTTGGTATTATAATTTTCAGATATTTACGAACACTTTTAAGCTTAGATATTGATCGCAGATTAAAGAGCTTTCAATTTTATGACGTCTAGGTTAATTATCTAAAAATATAAAATTTTCGAGTTATCTAATTATAGCATTAACCACACGATATATATTATTACATACATTTTTATCTATATTTATACATAATATGTGAATTTATGTATTATTGTGAAATAATATAAAAAATTTTTTTTCGGAATATTATTATGAGAGTTGGGTAATATTGAGTTTTGAGAGTATTATGAGAGTTATAAACACAACACTGTAAAACAATAACTGCAAATATAACATATTATATTTCATTATATACTATGTTTATGAATGGATCTAATGTCTGTATACCGAATTAAAATTTATTCTTAACTCATATATTTTAAAATGGTTTGGAGATACGCACCATTTTCAACAAAA